ATCAATTTTTCGACTTGTGCCACTGATAGGCGATTTAGGTCCATTTTTATAGGCATTCATTCTTAAGTACAGTAGGACAAAAGTTGCTTCTTTTCACTTACAATGCTAAAGTTATTTAATAATAAAGAGTAGTTTTGGTATAGAAAAAAAAACAAAAAAAAAAAACGGGGTCCAGCAAAATAAGAAAAGGACGAGTGCGAACGGTTCAAAGTCATCGCGAAAATAAAGCCCACCTCTTTGTTTCGCATGTGTTTGCAAGTCACCACAGGCATTTTAAATCAAGAGAAAATGTTCTTGTTAACGCACAAATTCAGTTTCACTAAAAGGAGGATAATTCAATACAAATATGGCAGCTCCATTAGAATTACATTACTGCTAGACTTTTCACAAAAAAAAAACTCTTGTCGTTTCAGTTTTTAGAGGTGCCCCCAAAAATTGATGAGCTCAGCTCATTGCTGATAGCTGCTCTTAGAAATGTTATGTTCTTAATAAAACGTAGAGTTTGCTAGATATCTAAAACCCTGCTTCCAGGTCGACTATTCCATGGCAAAACAGACAAAGTGTACTGTAATCGCCAGCCAGCCAAACTATAGTTTGCTTCAGTAGAGTCCCTGGGTTTTTAATGCGTTCCCTCATCGTTTACTAGTTTATTTTTTATTTTTTAATTCATTTAGCGTCAGAAAACTTGTTTGCATGGCAATATATACTAAAGACATAAATTCTCTACAAACTAAGGTCGTCAATTTTAAAATTGAAGAATTTTTAAACGTTTAATTACGGTAGTACTAAATCAAAAGATAAATATTTTCTGCTACTGTACTAAAAGAATAGCTTGGTGACCATGGCTTCGCTTAGTAAGTTTGATCGAATCATGCCTCGCATTTTGGCGAGATGCGGTCGAGCTAAAATATCAAGTCGAGACCAAACTCTTCTGATATGTCGCCTTAGACCAGAAAAAATGTACTAGTTGTTTGGTCTCGCTATGGGTATTTTGGTTCGACTACGTCTTGCCAAAATACGAACCATGGCTCGAGCAACCTCGCCTAATATGCCGCCGAAGCGTATCAAAAAGGTATGATTAGGTATAAATATCAGGGGAGTAGACGCGGCTTCTGGTTGGCTAATTGCGAATAACGCAAATATCAGGACAGTAAATATGGTTTCTGATGGGCTTATTGCAAATTTGGGCACGGCCGTCATCTGCCATGTCAAGTCAATACCTAATCGTACGTTTTCTGGTATATTTCGGCAAAATAAAAAGTGACCTGCGCTTTAAATTAATAGACAGTAACGTAGATGCCTCCAGCATGGTTTTTGATAAATGAGCTAATAATATCTGATTACCTTATTACACGAAATTTTCGCGACACGTTTCATTCGCGATTTTGAGGTCTGCATATTTCGCTACACTTCACACGAGTTCCGCGATTTTGCGAAAATTTTGTATTTTGAAGCATTTTAACTTCGCGTTTTTTAATAACATACCATTTATTTCCTTGGCAATGTTACTTTAATATGTCCTTAAACTTAGTAAATCGACTTTATCAAAGGTACAATAACGTCAAAATTAACAAGAACGAAATGTCAACAGTAGCAACAAAGTAGTTCATGCTTGTACATGAATTATTAGTCAGGTCAACTGACCACAATAACCATCTACATTGAAAATTCCTTCCTACAGAGATGATATCGGTTAGAAACATTAATATATGTATATACAGGTCTAACCTTTCATTTGTGTAAATGTCCTGATATGGATCAATAGGCGGTAATACAGTCGAACCTATCTACAGCGGCCACCGTGGAGACAGAGGAATGTGGCCGTCGTAGCCGTTATGGGGAGGAATGGTTATAATATGACACCCGTTTGTCCCGGGGTAACGACAATTATATTTTTTTAAAAATGCTTATTTTAGCCTATAAATACGTAAGACAGTGAAAATAAATCAATAAAACAAAAACTAGATAAAAACAGATCGCCGAGGGACCAACGACGCGTAGTACAGATCAAGTCTGGTGCCTTTTTCCAATAAAGAAGTGTGGTCGTTCGTCAGCAATTGATTAACTGGCCGTTGTCTAAAAGTGTTTGTTGGCAGTTCGGACGCTTTTAAGTGGCCGTTGCCGAAGTGCGGAGGTGGCCGTTGTAGAAAGGTTAAAATATGAGTGATATATGGACTTTCCGCCGGGACCAAGAAATGTGGCTTTGTAGAGAGGTGGCCGTTAGTGGAGGTTCGACTGTACTTCTTTTCAACTGTCCAGTTACTGATAAGATTTTTGTAAATATCTCGGTGGTAATAAACTCACTCTTTCTTGATCGTTGACATAGTTTCACTTAATTTTCGCGTCATGTTATGCTATGACACTACTGTTGTTCGCGCCACTTTAATTTCGCGATGTTTTTCAATATCGCGGAATTCGCGAAATTAACGTGTCACGAAAATTTCATGTCATAATTAAGGTACTGGTTTTCCCTACTATATTGACGAAATAGAACAAACAAATATTATTCGGAATCAATAATGCAAATTTACTTGTAGATATATATCGCTTTGATTACAAAATTCACTAAATTATTTATTTCTTTTTGTACAGATGATCCAGAATTCGTCAGTGTCAGTGGTGATCAAGTTGTTATTGAAGGTGGTCCCAGTATTACATTAGAGTGTATTCCAATTGGTGAACCTCCGCCAAACATCACCTGGACCAGAGTGCTTGATAATAGCAGTGACAGCAATGTGCTGTTTACTGGGGAGCAGTTTGTACTTGACAACAACAGAAGTTCCATTGGGACATATCGCTGTACTGCAAACAATGGGACTGCACCCAACCGCACTATTGCTGTGAACGTTATTTGTAAGTCGTGTATGGATATGCAAACTAAGACAAGTAAACGCAGGCTGCCTTGAGTAGAGTATACATATTTACTGTTTAGAAATCTTATGCAGCAAGCATGGCTTGATTATGTACTTGACTTACAAAAC